TTCTTCAGGAGTGGTGGCTTTCCTCTAAAGCAAGGTAAAGTGGTCTGTCTTTAGCAAAAGGGTGCTTTTTTTTCCTTGAATTTCTTTGTATACCAGAGTTTCAGTTGCTTCTATTTAAAAGAAATATAGAACTAGCACTCCCAAAACTTTTATAGGAATACGACCTGAGGTGGATTATACATGGGCAAAATTGACTCTTACTTAGCCTTGCTAAAGTTGCCCACTCCTGTTTTAGTCAGCGACTCCTCAACTGTCAGGTGTTATTGGGTAAGCATCATACAGCCCAGCTGCAGAATGGAAGAATCAAGCATTTCTCAGATATGTTGCTTGAACAAATGGAAGTATATGAACAGGACTGAAGCTGCCTTGGTATTTTGGTGGAGAGATGGGTATTAAAAGCAAATGCATGCTGCTTATATAGCGCTTAAAACACTCTCAGGGTGGTTTACTAGTTAATTATGAAGACTGCACATATTACTTATGGTTCTTGGGGTTCCCGGGTATTTGGATGCTTGGACCAAAAAAAGATAATCTCTTTGACACATCATTTTTTAAGTGCATGGATTGGAACACTATTAAGGCATCAAAATATGCTTTACCAAATCATATTAATGCCCCCTTACTTAAAGAGGAACCTAGTTCATCTATTAGCCAGGTACTGAGTTATTCTGTTAATGACTCTGGTGGTATGTGCTTGGGGATCAAGTAAATCTTGCTACAGACAAGTAATGAGAGACTTGTGTTGCTAGAGGTAGAAAATGTGTGAATATCCAGTGGTACCACTGCACTGCAGTTGGTTGCACAACTTCTTGCATGACTGTGCAATCAAAAGCAACTCTTAGCAGAGATTTTCACTCTGCTAGCATTATGTCAGATGTAGACCAGTTTAACCTTGGTGTATTATGTTGTGTCTTCTTTTCCTATTGCATTACCCACTGAACATTGTGTGAAATGGGTGGGATTATGCCATGCTTGACTCTGCCTATAGAATGTGCTTATGCAGTTGTAGAAAATAAAGTGATCAGTGCCATATATGGGGACATAGATGGGTACATCCATTTTTGTGGCTGTGTCATGCTTATATAGTTTGATATGATTTGAAACATACTTTGCCAAATTCAATTGTTTATATATAATGGAATTGTGTTTCTCAAATTGGGGATATTTACACAACTACTAATGACTATCTCTGTTACTTGAAAATTTAATATGTGATGAAAACTAGGTTTGAGGACCTTTGGTTAAAATACGTGGTTGATGTTGAGTAATTACAGTGGGGATAAACCTATTCAACAAGGACCTTGTGCAGAAGAAAATGAATATTAAATCTTATTAAATCCTCTGTTGTAATAACAATTGTCCAAAGCTATGTTGCATTTAAAATCCTGGTTGCTGTTACAGGTTCTGTTCCTCTGCCAGTTAATCAGCTAACATATTCACCAGCTAGACCTCCCACAGGACCTCTTCCAGTTGGAAGTCTAGCTACTTCACAGCCTTCAGCTCCTCCAACAAGCCTGCCATCACAGACTGTACAAAATTCACCAAACACACAAGAAGGTAAAGAAATGCTTTAAGATAAGTAACTCGGAATGCGGTAAACATAGTAGTGGATAGCTTAATAAATAGAACAATAAAACCTTGAATTCATTGAATGTTTCCACAAAAGTATTTAAAGAGGAGGTTGTGTTACTCTGTTAACAGGGAAATCAGTTTTGTTTCATCTTGAAGACTGGCAAACCTACTGTGGCATAAACTTATGTAAAGATTCCCCTAATCACACCCATGAAGCATTTAGTGCAGTGGTTCTTAACCTTGGGTAACCCAGGTGTTCTTGGACTGCAAGTCCCAGAAGCCCCAACCAGCATAGCTGGTGGTGAAGGCTTCTGGGAATTGCAGTCCAAGAACACCTGGATTACCCAAGGTTAAGAACCACTGATTTAGTGTAACACGTATCAGTATCTTTAGAATAACACTTATCTCTACCTATATATGATGAAAAATAATTGGCATAAACCTCAGCTGTGAACCTTAACTGTAAAGTTAAGAATTTAGGATAAGCACTTGCTCTCACATGCTGAAAAACTGAATTAAAAAAATCCATTTTTTAAAATAAAATGCTTACTAACTAGTGATTTAAAGCATGACTTAGATCTATTTGATTTAAAAAGAAAGTCACTTTACTTGTGAGGGATTGTGTGCTATTGTGAATGTACTAGGCTTGCTTTTGAGTGGACCATATGTATTCAGTTTATTCTCTTAAAATGACAAGGTTTGTAATTTTTAACACCTGTTGTTCCAAAACAAAAGATGTGCATCTGGGTAAAATACTCTGTCTGAAATACATTATGGAAATCTAGTAAAGGTAACTTTAGAAGGAAGAGGCATCATTTGACTTTGAAATAGCTCAGAATAATGATTTCTGTCTATAAGTAAATGTGGATGTGCTTAATATCTTTGGTCTGCCTAAACAACTGCCTTGAGTTTAACTTAAATCCAGTAGCATTGTTTAAAAGTAACAAAATCTCATGCATTTCATTATCAACATCATGCTTTTCAATACAAACATGTTTCTTCAGCAGAAAAAAATATTTACAGGACTCTTTGCAGAAAAAAAAATTGCATTAGATATCTTACTCATGCTTCAGACAGCTGGCCTGAAGAATTATGGGCATTGGGCTATTTGAGTAGGGAGAACTGCTATGCAAAGTGACGGAAACCTCCTGGCTGAGAAAGTATTTCCATGATGTGGTGATATTTTCTATTCTGTGTCCAACATGTGCTATAAAATGTTAAACTGCCTATCACGAACCATTTGTTTATAAGGATAAACTGCTGAAAAGTATGAACTACTCAATGACTGGATTTAAGTCTTTGTTTCTAACAGATCACCTTTTTCTTAGCAGGTGATGCAACATCCGCTGCCAGTGATGGATCTTTGGTCCAAAACAATTATGATACAATAGAAGGAGGTGGTTTCCTTGGTAAGATGTTCTTTTAATTTTTAAATAGTTTTAACCATCATATTGACACCTCTTTATGTTTTCTATAAAATGTCTTGACTAGAGATGGGGGTATTTGTATATGAATACGAATATCCCCGCAGAGCTGGTGTTAACAAAGGTCCAGCCCCATGGAGCCGGATGATCCACTCACTGATCTGACATGGACAGCACAATTCTACAAATGGCTCTGCAGTGCGCGATCTGCTCGCCACTCTTGGACCTTGCAGTGAGGCTTGTCCTCGTGCCTCCTGCCAGGAGTGGCGAGTGGATTGCATGGAATCATAAATGTGCAGTTGTAATTGACTGTCATTTTCACAGTTGAACAAAGTAGTCTCCTGTCAACAAATTAAAACTTTTCTGAAATGTGATTGGTAAGATCATGTAACTTGAAACATTTCTTCAAAATTGTCTGGTCATATATAGAAACACAAGGATTTTGTTTAATGCTAAGTTATAATAAAATTGCTACTGCTTCATGAGCCATCCTAAGTTATTAGTTATATCATACAAAACCTTAGGCTTGGTGTTAAACCCTGTGCCTTTCAGAATTGCCTGTTCAAAGACTGACTGGAATTAATTTTAATATATGTACATTGGAAGTAGTTAGTTTCTATATTGGCACAGAAATGTTGTGTATACTGATGATGTTATGTTCATAATAAGAATAAATTAATTCTAATACTGTACTGAAGTTCTAGTTGGTATTATTTCTTCAATTTTAAACAATGCATTCTTTTTTCAGCAACTGCACATGCTCCAACTCCTCAGGATCTTAAAACAAACAGACATGTTGGGAGTTCTTATCCTAGCTTGCCACCAGGCTACCAAAATACATCTCCACCTGGAGGGCCAAGAATGCAGTATCCAAGTATATCTCAGCAGTTCCCTCAGGTAAACTGTTTTCAGTTTCATAAATACGTTGATTTTACTATGTATGGGAATTCATAGATTTCCAGATCGTTTTGTTGACAGCGATTTAGGTATTTGACTATGGAAGCAGAGGTTGGCAGTTCAGTTCCCCACTGTGCCTCCTGGGAAAGAACCAGCCCATGTAGCCATGGACAGGCTGAAGAAGGGAATGGTAAACCATGTCTGAGTATTCAGTACCTGGAAAAGATCACCATAAGTCAGAATTGACTTGACAGTATGTAATTATTATTATTATTTGCTAACACTGTATAGAAGTCAGTTGTCCAAGGTCTGAGGGCTCCAGAATCTGCTACATATGTACCAGCTATTTAGCCTTTCAGTTGTAGTGGATGTCTTGAGATGACAAACTTGCATGCTTCTTAGCAAAGAATGATAGTCTGTGAGTTGCTAATAATGCTTTTTGTTCAGTGTTTTAGGACTTGTCAAATGTTTGTTTATATACTTTATTTCTTTGTCTAATTTCTATACCACCAGTCTGGCAACCCAGGCCACTCTGGGCGGTTAAGAAAATGCCAGATAACAGGGTCCCAAACCGTTTAAGGCTTTGTAAACACCATTACCTTGAAGTTGGCTTGGAAACTAACAGGTAGCCAGCGCAGGGCAGCCAGGGTGGAGGAGATAAGCTAATGCCTTCTCACCCCACTTTAGCTGAGTTCTGGACCTGCTAAAGTCTCAGTGAGAGCACCAGGAGCAGTCCCACATGAAGAGCGTTGCAGTAGTCTAATCTCAAGACTACCAGTGCATGGACCAGCGTGGTGAGGGACCCAGTCCCAAGGCAGCAGCTCAGCTGAGTGATCTGCCTTAGATGGAAATGGGCAGTGCAGACCACAGACACTATCTGAGATTCCATTGATAGTACTGGATCCAAAAGCTTTGAAAAATGCCCCTTGCATGAAGCTTGAAGAAGGAAGTAATGGGCTTGAGATGGGCAGTATGTATGGTGAATGAGTGGGGAAAAACCCAAAGACTGTATAGTTTGAGATATATTAGGGAGAACTATAAAGGCACGCAAAAAAGAGATACAGTCTGATGGCAAGTTTCCATAAAGAATAAAAATGTAGAAATGTGTTAAGTATCACAGGAAGTTAGGAAAAAGAGACCATTACAGTTCTTATGTTCAGAAAGATGGACTTAATCAAGGCATTTGAGATAGATGAAAAAGGAGTACAGAAAACTTTTCAGTACAGAAACTTATCCTGAGAGTTGATCAGGATATTAGCAGACTGTCAAAAGTACACTCATGAATACCGCATGTCTACTTTTGACAGTCTGCTAAGATGATGATCAACTCTCAGGAGAAGTTTTCTGTACTGAGTTCAGAAAATAAAGGTGAAACTGAAAATGAAGCAGCAGTGAGTATTGACAGCTCCTCAGCTAAGTGAGGATTTGGATGTTGCCAAGGGTGAGGAAGATGATACAGATCATAAAAGCGAACTGCTGACCTGTTTGCTGTTATGAAACTTGTAAGTAGCATGGAGAGAGTTGCCTTTAGCTGGGGAAGGCAGGGTTCAAATTGCTAATTAGCTGTGATTTTTACTGAATTTTAAAGCTTGGTGAGTGACCTTGGTTAAGTTTCTCACTGAATGTTTGTGTACGTCAGATTTTATAACCATATATTGCTAGTTATCTTGACCCCTTGATGCTGTGAAAACTCTGGCTCTGTGGTGTTGTTGTACAGTGCTCTATTTGGAATTGTAATGTTCCAGGGCCTCTCAGGCTACCTTAACACATATACTGTATTTTCCCCAGTAGAACAAACGGGGATCCCAACTGGCTTATATTTTGAAGGGAAGTAAGTAGTCACAACAGAGGAACATGAGTGAAAATAATAAGAGATAAAGTAGTCTGTGCCTGTGTGACTGACAGTTCTGGTATGTTGCTTCATAACAAGATGCAATTACTTGTTATGCCTTCTCAGATTTCACCCTCTTAGTGATCTTTACATGACACTGCACTTGGACATTGACTTAAAGTAAACCAGTGACAGAAAACTAGTCAGCAGCATGCCTGGTTTGTGATTAGTCAATATTTTGGCCCATATGTTCTAATGCAAGTGGTTTATGAACTTATGCATTGCTTATTCAAATACTCACTTTGTGTTTACGAATGGATTTTGGATGTCATTCAGAGAGGTTAACCTTGTGTTTTTTCTCTCTCCACTCCTCCATTAGCCTGGTTTGGGAGCAAATACCTTAACTGCACCTCTGAGTGGACTGAGTCTTCAACCAGAAGGACTAAGACCCATCAACCTTCTTCAAGAGAGAAATATTCTCCCTGCTACTCCCTTGCAGGCACCTGTTCCAAACTTGCACGAAGATATCCAGAAACTCAACTGTAGTCCAGAGTAAGGTTAACTCCTTCTTTTCTGGTAAAAATTAGTTTCCAAGTTTATATATTCTGATTATAATATAGTTCCTACACCTATACATTAAAAAAAAACTATTGCTTGTAGTTTTTGGAGTCTTTAGCAAACACAAGTTGTGGCAAAAATTAATGATTTAGAAACAGTGGGCTTGATTTTTTTTAATAAGTTAATCTTAGCACAGCACTATCTTTTGATCATGTTTATATATTGTATATCAGTTTCCCAACATTTGTACAAGCTCTTGGCATGAGTTTATCAAAGAAAGCAAAAAAAAAAAAAAGGTCAGGTTCTCTCTATGGTTCACTTCTTTACCTGAACTAGCAATTTAGTCCTAATGCATTCACTATGTTAGTTGTAGCCAACTGTAAATGGGTTTCACATTGCTCATGGCTCCAGATTGCAGCTATGATGTCTGGAGAGGTTTGGTCTGACAATATTTTCCCCTCTAAATAAAATATCTGAGTGCTTTTTAACCAATGATGCCCACAGTCTGCCTGATGGGAAATAAGGTGCACCTTAAAATACTTTGTAGCAGCTCCACAGCCCACCAATTCTAGCCAGAAGAGGTAGTGGCTAGGATTAGAATTGTGGTGGTGTTTTCAGGTGACGAGGAGGCAGCGACCCTTGCTCCTGAATTGGTAGAGAGACTCATCGGGCTGTTTTTGTTTCTCGATGGGTGTTTGATGGGGAACAGAAAAAGTAAATATCATGAAACAGGATATTGGAGGGAAAATATTGAAGACAGCCCTTTCTTTTATAAAAGATCTGTTCATTGTCACCATACACTAGGAGTGGGACCTTTTTTTGGCTTGGAGTTCCAAGTTAGAAGTGGTATTGGGAGTAGCAGTGGGCATGGCCAAAAGTGTAGGGTAGAGCTAAGGACAAACTAAAGCTAAATGAGTGACCTCAGATGTAATTCTTACCAGCTGAGCCATTTTTTTCCAGTCAAAACACAAGACACAGCTCATTTCTATGGAAATGTAGGAGTGAGCACCAGCTTATCTAGGAGTATGTTCTATTGCAGTAGCTTTCCTGCCTGCAAAGCTCAGCTAAGTTCTCTGCTGGTTATTTAGATTTTAAATACCTCTTGCTAGAGATGGAGGTATTTGTATTCCTATACAAATACCCCTGTACAGCTGGAGTTAATGAGGGCCCGGCCCCCTGGGGTGCCAGGTCGGCTAGCTACTACTGTCAGAAGGAGGGAAGACGAGTCTCTCCGCCAGGCTGATGACTGGCTAGCCGACCAGGTGCTCCGGAATGATTGGAAGGGAGAGTGGGGTCGGCACCAGACACGTGAGTAAAGGGGTTAATGAGTGGACCCTCATTAACTCCAGCAGTGGGGGGTATTTGTATACAAATACAAATACCGCCATCTCTACCTCTTACCTCAGATTATTGATTGGAAGTAATGGCAGAAGAATAACTGAAGGGCAAATATCAGTGATGTGCAAGCTTGTAGTTTATCCTCCCTGAATTACACTTGTCATTATCCAGTTAATCTACACTTAGCAATATACTGATATGTTTAAACAATTAAAGGTTAAAATCTTTTATTAAACTGTTTCTGAATATATACGGAAAGTGTATTTTGTGTTAATAATATCAACGTTGCCTGTACATCGGATGTAAGCATTCTTGTATGGATGGAAGTCTGCATTCCAATTCAGCCAGGAGCCGAGGGCTGCACCCTTCACCATAAAAAACTCCCCAGACTTCCACCAATTAAAATAGGCCAGCAAAAAAAATATCTGTGCAATCTGCTGTGAAAAAAAATGGCAGCATGGCTCCCAGCCACTTTTCTGTCTGTTTTGCAGCAATTTTAAATCTGTGGCTAACCATTTTTGCAGTTTTTCTTTATTTTTAAAATAAAGTTGTATTTGCTGGTTTTGGTTTGCAGCCACTAATTAACCTGACTGGAAATCAGGAAGTGCTTAATTGAAATAAAAGCTTCCTGAATCAATTTAAGTCCATGAAGATTCAAAACTATGATTTTAGGTACATGTTGCAAATGTTAATGAAGAGCTAAGCAAGTTTGAACAAGATCATAGAGGCTTAAATGCTACAGTAGGACAGAAAAGTGGTTGGGAGTCGCTGTTTTTTGGTGGCAGACTGCTTTCCAGGTATTTTTGGCAGCTCTGAAAAAATAGACATATTAGGGGAGGGTGGCAGCAAAAATTTTCCTCTGGCTCCAACATGCTTAACTTTCCTTTACAAAGTGAGTACCATATTTTTCCATTTATAAGATGACCCAAAGTATAAGATGACCCCCCCCTTTTCTAACTCCAAATTAGAAAAAGCAGGGATCAAATGGCTCCCTTTTTGCTAAGCCCCGTGCTTTGGCAAAAGGCAAGGTAAGCAGCTGTCAAAGTGACTGCCGCTTTTCCTTGCAAGGGGTGCGGGGCTTTAGCAAAAAGGAAGGGGAGACGTTGCTGTCTTCCTCTTTGCTAAGCTCCGTGCCTTCTTAAAAGACAATGGGTGCAGGGCTTTGCCCTTTGCCTTTTGAGAAGGGACGGAGTTTAGCAAAAAGGAAGGGAGCAACGTCTCCCCTTCCTTTTTGCTAAGCCCAGTACCTTCGCAAGAGGCTGTGGTAAAGAGCTGCCTTCCGTGTATAAACAGGAACTTAAATTTTTCTCAAATTAGTTAAGGAAAAAGTGTCATTTTATACATGGAAAAATACGGTAATTTGTAGATTAGCCATTGTCATGGGCTGGAAGTGGCTATACAGAGTATCTAGTGCTGGGCTAGGAACCTTGAACAGTAGACTGAATAGCTTGTTGACCAGCAAGGTATTATTTTTCCCCAGTTAGCAGAATTCTGCTCAATCTACTCGGGCCAGTGGGAGGGAGTCCAGAGAGGTTATCTTTCCTCATTCTCCCATCCTTGCAGTTGCAGCACCATTTTCCTGGCTTTTCCAGTATGTTCCTTCTCACTTCAGAGACTAAGGGAAGGAGGGAAATGATGAACAATGCCTTCTCCATTTTGTCAGTGGAGTTTTTTGTACAACAGGAGGCTCATGCCGGATCCAACCTTGTACATCTAAAGTTAAAGATTGGTCCTTAGTCTGAATGGAGCCTAGGGCTGCCTTTCAAATACATTATATTGCAGATGTGAAGTAAAATATTTTTGAGTTATCTTCTCACTTCAGGCATTGATGCTGAGTATTACATTATGGTTTTTTTTGTGAGAGACTGTAAGCTATGTTTAGTTTTGATGTTCTTTAACACTTGATAAACTGGTCAAAGCATAACATTAAATGTAGGCCTTAATTATAAGGCTGAAATACTGCATAAAAGATGGGGAGGCCTCCTTTGGCCGAAATTGGAGAAAAAAGTATGTGGGAAGTACCTCTGTGGTTCTGGAATGATGATGCACACAATTTATAGTGATTTTACCCCTTTGTCTCTCATGTAGGTTGTTCCGATGCACCTTGACTAACATTCCTCAAACCCAGGCCTTACTGAACAAAGCCAAGCTTCCTTTGGGGCTCCTGCTTCATCCTTTCAAAGACCTATCAGTAGGATACATTTCAACACTTTGAATGCTGGGGTGTGGCTTTCAAATTAAGGCAATTCCTCAGCAGCCATATTCATATGATCCACGCCACCTTATTTGGGGAATTGTGGGTGAGCCCTGTGCACAAGCCATTTTGCTGGGCTTAATTACTTCCCCCGTGTTTGAATCAAACAAACATTTGCTGTAATGCCCAAGTTGGTTTGGGGAGTAACTTAAAGTTGAAATTTTCAATCCAGGATTGATCCGATTTTTGAAGGATCGCTAAAATAATTTGATGTTATGGCGAATTGTAATTTGATTTAAGTACTCAAGGGGAACAGCTTATTGACTCATTATCCTTCAAAATGTGATTCAGAGAATATGAAAATACAAAAATGTGTTCATTTTCCCTGAGAAAAAAATGCATGGAATCCATTTGCAATAGCTTCTTAAATTGAGACCCTCCTGCTTTTAGACATTTTAGCTGTATCTTTATGGTGTTCATTGCTTAAAGGATACTGCAAATTTTGAAATTTGTATGGTAATAAGTTTACCTTGTTGAGCATTATCCTTTTATCAGAGCAATAATGCCTTCAAAATTTGCCCTTCCCCGATTTTATCTGGTCTGAAAGTTGCTGTTTGCAAATAGGTAGGGAGTTTCTAGGCTGGGGAATAGCTACTTAATTCTTGTGGGAAATAATTGTGCATCAGTTCTTATAAATGCAGACAGCTATTGTAGCCTGCCTTCCTGTATTGGATTTCCTTTCTACATGAATGTGTGCTTTAATGTGACTTCCATTATATTATACAGTCCACCTTTTCCCACTTGTTAAGCATGTGCTGCCAAGTGGGTTACTGTCCCAGTCCAGTCAGCATTTCTTGTTTAAGTTCATTATGAGTGTGCTATGGATATTGAGTGTGTATTTACTTCTTTTGGGCATAAGAACTGGTTGTATTAGCTATCACTAAGACTGTATTTTTTTCTTTATGATACTTTTCAGAACTGATTCATATTCACTGAATGGCTAGTAACCAGACTTGCAAAGCCCTGTCTCTTCTCAAAGCATATATGGATTTAAATGGCTTCTCTGTTTTTGAGCATAGTGATCAAGCAAGTCTTAGATGGAAGTTGCAATTGTGGTTGTAAACATAAATAAAGAACTTAACTTTCATATAGGGGAGATCCTTGTACTTAGTTCGTTATACTGTATCTTCAAAAGTTAGATACCCAAGTTAGCAATGAAGGATAATGTATTCTCAACATATAGCTTGATATTCCTTTTCCCTCCCCTAGCAATTGCCTGTGGTGACATCCAGTACAATTGTGAGATGTCGTAGCTGCAGGACATATATAAATCCTTTTGTGAGCTTTCTTGACCAAAGGAGATGGAAATGCAACTTATGTTACAGAGTAAATGATGGTGAGTCTTGTTTATAAAAGCAAATAAATGTATATCTGCTGAAAACAACGTCCATTGTTTATTAGAAATCTGTGATATAATTGCATACTACGTCTGGTGTGAAATAATTGTGGCGTCACTTACTAGCTGTTTCTAGGTTCTTGTATTGGTAGATGTGATACGTTATGGAGATAAAGTGTTGCATGACCATTCTAATGGTTTATTAGCTTAAATCCCTAGTGCTGTACTTCTCAGAGTACGTATACCTTGGAATAAACTGCAGTATTTTCCTCTTGCAGTTCCTGAAGAATTTATGTACAATCCTGTCACTAGAGTTTATGGGGAACCTCATAAAAGACCTGAAGTTCAAAATGCCACAATTGAATTTATGGCTCCTTCTGAATATATGGTGAGATTCCTTTCTGACTCAAGCTGTTGGCTGTAATGGCAAACTGCATTCAGTAGAGCAGGACTGGGAAATTTGTGGCCCTTAGATGACTTTAGTTTCCATTAGTGCCTTCAGCATGACCATTCATGAGGGACAGTGGACATAACATTGATAAACCTCTGGAAGACCCTTAATGCCCCAGACTTGTAAGTCTAGTCATATCCTACTATTCCTATATTCTTGTTTGCCTTGTTTATTTATTTATTTATTTATTTATTGAATTTATATCCCGCCTATCTGGACTATAAGTCCACTCTAGGCGGCTTGTTTATTTTTGGCCCTAGACATCAGCTAAATATTTGTCATTGGCTTTATTTTTTGTACAGTACCTAATTTATACAGATACTCCAGAAATAGTTGCAACAGATTTAGAACTGACCATGAAGAGGAGCGTCTGATCAGGTTTAGACCTGAGTCCAGGATCCAGTAACATACTCTATAGGTAGAACATTATATAGCCTATGTCATTACATGCATGCAATAGCTTGCTGTTGCCCACGCAGGATTCATCCCATTGGAAATAACAAAGCTTATGTTTGGATACCTTGTTGCACAAGCTTAGAAAGTGTTGATCTACTTACACATGGACTATTGTGCAAATAGGGAGAACAAACAGAATTCTATTCTGAAACTTAAATCAAGATATTTATTTCTCTTTTTTTTCCAGCTACGTCCACCTCAGCCTCCTGTGTACCTCTTTGTATTTGATGTGTCTCATAATGCAATAGAGACAGGATACTTGAGCACTGTATGCAAGACATTGTTGGACAATCTAGATTTGTAAGTCCTTTGTGTCTTTTCTACCTGTGTCCTTGCAAATGTTTATGTTGCTGAATTCCTAAAGGCATTACTTGCACTTTTCATGTGCTGCACTTAAAACTTTAACGTTACAGAGTTTTAAAGGTACCATCCTTGTACTGTGTGTCAAAACCTGTAGACTAAATTTGTGGAGGGGGTTGGACTCAATGGCCTTATAGGCTCCTTCTAACTCAATCTTACTGTGATTCTATGATCTCTTTTTAGTAAAAACAAGTGAAAAAATAGCTGCCCCATTTTATTGTCACACTGGATTCCTAAGTTGTATACTGGTGCAGAACCTAAAGACAATGTAAGGAACAAGGACAGTAAAGACGAAATTTGTTAAAGAAACATTATACATCTATGTTGCTAATACGGTCAACCTTTGACTTACAAACTAATCGGTTCCAGAAGGAAGTTTGTAAGTCGAATTGGCATTTCCCATAGGATTGCATTGAAAACCAATTAATCCATTCCAGCGGTTTTTGGTTCTTAGGTCGAGTGGCGGTAAACCTCCCACCCCACAGCATGGCACAGAACCCAGCAACCATTCCTCCAGCACAAAAAGACTCTGGATCCACATTTTAAGCACAGGCACAGACATTTTAAAACAATGCAAGACCAATAACAGCACAGAAACATAACCCCCAAAGAATATTTTCTGATTTTAAAAGACTCTGGATCCACATCCATACTGCAAGACCCATAAGAGCACAGAAACATAACCCCCCCCACAGCAAGGCATAGCAATCCAGCAACCATTCCTCCAGCACAAAAAGACTCTGGATCCACATTTTAAGCACAGGCACAGACATTTTAAAACAATGCAAGACCAATAACAGCACAGAAACATAACCCCCAAAGAATATTTTCTGATTTTAAAAGACTCTGGATCCACATCCATACTGCAAGACCCATAAGAGCACAGAAACATAACCCACCACCCCCAGCAAGGCATAGCAATCCAGCAACCATTCCTCCAGCACAAAAATGCCTGCCTTCCTGAACAAACATGCACTCAAAGAATATTTTAACCACAGGCACAGACATTTTAGAACAGTGCAAGACCCCCCACCTAGCCCTAGCCCCCCACCAAGCTGCAAAAAACCCTGTACAGTACATACAGTAAAGTAAAAACATACACTGTACTCACCCAGAACAAGCAGTCGCTCTGCTTAAAAAACGAATGTCAAAAAGCAAAAATCCAAAAACTTAAAATTAGCCAAAAATAAAAATACAGTCCAGGCAATACCAGGCAGTACCAGGCAGTCTGAAGACTGTGTCCCAATCCTCTCTCTAAACGCTGGGAAGAGCAAGGAAGCAGACAGGCACCCTCTTCACTGGCCAATGGTTAATTGAAAGTTCAAATTTCGCGCTTTCCCCGCCTCCCGTGTTTTTTTTTCAGTTTGTAACTCAAATCTAAGTTCATAAGTCAAGTCAATATTTTCCTATGAGAGCGGTTTGTAAGTCTAAATGTTTGTAACTCGGGCCATTCGTAAGTCAAGGGTTGACTTTGTAACTCGGGCCATTCGTAAGTCAAGGGTTGTATAAGAAAAAAATGAAGTACTTGAAGCCATAATTCTACATTCCAGATATGATTGTGATGTGTCTCATGTAGCCTGTACACATTCCAGATTTTCCCCAACTTTCAAGACTTGTTTTCATGTAAAATGGGAAAAATATGGTAATCTTCTTGTTTTACCATTGAACTATCAGCATAACACCCCCCTTGTCTTTAACATACAGTATAAGAAAAAAATGAAGTACTTGAAGCCATAATTCTACATTCCAGATATGATTGTGATGTGTCTCATGTAGCCTGTACACATTCCAGATTTTCCCCAACTTTCAAGACTTGTTTTCATGTAAAATGGGAAAAATATGGTAATCTTCTTGTTTTACCATTGAACTATCAGCATAACACCCCCCTTGTCTTTAACATACAGTGGTGCTCTGCTAGACAATGACCTCGCAAAACGACCAATCTGCATGATGATGAGTTTTTGCGATCGCTATAGCGCTTCGCAAAACAGTCTTTCCTATAGGCGATTTTTGCTGGACGATGTTTTGATCCATGCTTCGCAAGACTTTTTTTTTCCCAAGGACCGATGCTTCGCAAGACGACGATTTTAACAGCTGGGTCTGCGACTCGCGAGACGGGTGTTTTCGGGACCAATGCTTCGCAAGACAGCTATTTTAACAGCTGATCGGCGCTTTGCAAAATGGCTTCCCTATGGGCGATTTTTGCAAGACGACTATTTTCCCCATTGGAACGCATTAAACGGATTTCAATGCTTTCCAATGGGGAAACGCTTTTCACAAGACGATGTTTTCACAAGACAGCGATATCAATGGAACCGATTAACAACATCTTGCGGGACACCACTGTACTCTGTCAGTGAATACATTTCGGTGTCAGGTTGGTAGCTGTGTGGAGAAAAGTAGCCCCACTACCCCGAGGATAATGCATTAGAAAAGCTCTATGCCATGGAAGATATATATGTTTGACATGAATGTAAGCCTTACTAAACATAGTACTGTTTTTTTCCCCTTAAACTTAATTTCCAGACTTCCAGGAAACACTAGAACAAAAATAGGCTTCATAACATTTGACAGCACAATCCATTTCTATAGCCTTCAGGAAGGTCTTTCTCAGCCTCAGATGTTAATAGTTTCAGATATTGATGGTAAGTATGAATAATGTGTAGCATTAGATTTATGAAATATACTTTATGGGTCCTTGCACATAAGTACCTGGCCTAGAACATTAATCCATTATTGGCCAAATTCTATTGCTTTAGAAAAAGAATGTCCATTAAATATGAAGTCTATATGGGGAGGATTATGCAAGACTGGGTATTCCTCACTGAGTAGAAGAATAGGCAGGAAAGGGGTTGGCATGTGCTCCTGTTGAAGGCAGAGCCAGCAGGCTTAATGTCCCTTCTAAGCTTCTCTTATGTTCATTATTTTTATTTGCCCTTATTGCTGTTGAGCATTTTAAAAATAAAAGCAGCATTATTTAGTTTTTCTTCACGGGATATATTTTTCTACCTACTTTCCTATATTCTTAGCCACTTGGAAAATTGATATTGCCAGAATTAAAACACAGAGTACTAACTCTGACAAATCTTTAGGCCAGTCTCCTTGTTCACCCTAATACATTCCATGAGGTGAGGATAGGAAAGGAATGAAATGGAGTCCTTCACCCATGACTTTCAGAGATTTCTGCAGCTTTACTGAATTTCTCCCTGGCACTTTCTGTTCCTGACAAGGGAGAATGTTAGGGCACCGTGTGCATAGAATATTGTGCAAGTACTGGATACATTTAAGAGGTGGGAAAGTGGTTAAAGTTTTAATATTGGATAATTCAGGCAGCTTTCACTGCATTTTTATTATTTTTCTTGCAGATGTTTTTATACCAATGCCAGAAAATTTGCTAGTAAACTTAAATGAAAGCAAAGAGGTAAGAGTAATATTAGGCAACTTGATTATTATTATTATTATTATTTTGGAGATTTCTCCAGTGTGGTGATAAGGTTGCTCTTCTGAAATTGACTATTCACTGCTTGTTTTTCTGAGAAAGAAAATTGGAAAACTATGAGCTTGGGTGTGAGACCTAAGGGGTGGGGGTAAGGTCCAAAACCTTAACGTTTTTAATTGAACAGATTCAAATTCAGTTCCAGTTTTAACACATCTAAACTGAATATTGGCCATCCTTTCCCTCAAAGACATCATCCTTTAAGATACTCCCTTTCTTATCCATTTGTGTTTGACACATATTTCCCTTTTCTAAGAGGCATCATACTTAGACAGATGCCTGCGTTATCACAGAATGATATACTGTTTCCAAATCATTAAGGTCATTATTCAGTTTCGTTCAGTTACAGCATAAGTACACCTGGATTGGAAACTCTTAGTTCCATACCTTGCTCTTTCCTTCCTGCCCACCTACGTGCTCTTCATCTCCTCTTACTCACGCACTCACATTCCCAAGTGCTCTTTCCCTCTTATGTAGTGCTGTTCTCCTTCTCTCCCCTACTTCTATCCAGGTATACCTCCTCCTGTCTCAAATTACAGCTGTTTTTTTCAAAAAATGTTGCCTTTCTCATCTTGCACTCTTCTTTTTACTCCTCCTTCTCAGTGCTTGTTCAGCTGTCTCTTCTCTCTGTATGTGTCCTAACTTGACTGAAGAGTTTGGGGTTCTGCAGCAGGCGAGCAGCAGTCACACCTGGCCTGTTGTTCCTGCCATGGCTCTGGCCCATAGAGGACTTCCTAGTGGACCCCTAGAAATATAAATATGCCAGCCCTGGCTGAAGCATACTCACTGCTGGTTTATTTATTTATTTATTTATTCTATTTGTATCCCGCCTATCTGGTCAAAACGACCACTCTAGGCAGCTTCCAGACAGATAAAAATACAAACACATATACATATAACAAAAAATAGAAATATCCAGGAATAGACAATTAAACAAAAAACAATAAGGAATAAACAATATGGTTAGGGACTTTTGTTACCTTGTGACTCAAGATGGTACTGTAGGCTACCGATATATTTAAATTAACTAAAATGAAATAACCAATCTAAACAAAATAATTCCTAAACAACATTCCTGCTAAACTGGCAAGTGCACCTCTGTATCCCTGCACATAGCTGTCTTCCTCCTCCGTGCAGCAATCGCATTAGGTTCCAGTCACGATGGAACCCAGCGTGGGGTGTGTGTATGTGTGGAGTCACGCACACGCGGGGGCTGAGCCCCACCCAGAGGGACTGAAAATTAGAGGATATGTTGCTCCTAAAGGTCCTTTTAATATGCATATCAACTTTCAAGTGTCTGTTTCATGGTCTTAGGAGTATGGCAGACAGACACTGTCACATTTGTTCGTATTGAATGCTGCAGTACAGTCTGACACAGACTTGCAGTCTTCTACATGCATATGTAGAAACACTGAAACAAGAGAGCTGCAGGGAATTAGGGGCCTGTGTTGAGCCTAGTGGGTGGAGACTACTAGAGCCTTAATTCCTGGCAGCTTCCACAAAGCTTAGCACCACCCATCAATTTCCTCTGTCTTCTTCATAGGATGAAAATAGCTGCTGTAACTTTCATTAACTACCTGTAAAATCTTGAAAACACTTGAGGATGAAAGTCTCATGCCTAATTGGTGCCTTGTGAATGCATTTTATTCTCTGAGGCCCCCATTTTTAACAGCTCTTCTAATGTTTTTAAATATATGCATTGTTCTTGTTTTACTTTATTTCATTCATTTGCTATGCTAAGATATTTTAAGGTTTTGCACTATACTTCAGTGGCTGGAATCCTGATCTGCAGCTCCACATATGCAAAAGCTGATGATGTCATCAGTAGTGGACTTAAATCTTTAATTTAAAGTTTCTTACGCCGTCCTACCCAATGTTCCAAGGCTCCCTAAAGATCCCTTATAACTTTGGGGAGCCTTTGGGAGATCCAGGATAGGGATGGGGAGCCTTTAATATCTGTAAATCGCCACCAGAAATCCCATTGCCAGGATTGCTTTTTTTTGGACATTTAAGCTCCTGTCCTGAAGCCTTCAAAGGTTTTCCAAGTCAAAATACTTTTACAGTACAGTAAACCTTTATTGGCATAAAACAATATGGACAAGGAAGTAAGACACAAGGGGAAAAAGAATCACAAGGTGAATAAACATAGTCAACATTAAATGAGAAAGTACAAAATAATGAGAAATAAGACATAATACCCGGGGAATGAGGTAAAAAAAGTTCTACATTAAGGGAGAACAGTGAGTTTCATAATTATAGCTAAATAGTTTGCCACCGCCTCGGTGAGGGAAGCACAGTGATCACTTAAAAAAATAAGGAGAAAGTCAGGGAAAAAGTCTAAAGAGAAAATCAACCAATGATCTAAAAGGAGATTCCGAAGGGAGTAATGGGCTGGGCATCTGAATAGAATATGATTTAATGTATCAGGCAGCAAGTGACAAAAAAGGCAAAGTCTTTTGCCTTTAGGGGTTTTGGAATAACGGCCATGGCCGACGGGAAGATGTTAAACCGGGCTAGCGTGACAGTCCTCTGCAGCATAGGATTAACCAGTAGGTTGAAATAATTTGCAGGCTATTCTAAAGAAGGGGATAAACCGAAAACATTTGGAGAGCAAGGGAAATTAAGAGGATCTCTTCGGTGTTCAAACTCTCATTGATATAGCTTGGTCTTAACATGAGAGTAGGCAACAGATAATTCCAAATCGAAGAGTGATTCTAATGAGATATCAATCGATAACAATTCAGAATGGATAAGTTGTATCCATCTAAGGGAGTAGGGGTCATCGAACAAAGCATATAGTAACAAATCCGGGGATCTAGTTAAAAACATAAATATATCCATGGGAGCCTCAGAACCTAGGAGCAGGGAACAGAAAACTTTAAAGATTAAAGTCTGTGGCTGATGACATCATCAGCATTTACGTGCATGGCATTGTGCAGGAGGATTCCAGCCAGTGCCTTTCAGTTATGTTATTTTTATGTTTTTGAGCTCTATTTTGTGTTGCCCAGAAAGCTTTGGTTACAGAGGCAGAGCTAAGATGACAAACAACAGAACATGGTTTGTTTGCCCGTTATTTCTTTGTTTGTTTGTTTAACTTCTATGCCGCCCACACAACCCAAAGATCTCTGGTCGGATTACAACAACTTGAATACAGTAAAAAGATAAAAGGATAAAACAATAAAGAGATAAAAGGATTATCAATATGGGAGACATCTATTTTGGGCTTCTAATGTTTCAAGGGGGGGAATAAACTTTTCTTTCCCCTTTCAGTTAATTCAAGATTTATTGAGAACTTTGCCTGAGATGTTTACCAGCTCCTTGGAAACACAGAGTGCTCTGGGACCTGCCCTACAAGCTGCCTTTAAATTGATGTCACCAACTGGTGGTCGGATATCTGTTTTTCAAACACAGCTTCCCTCTGTAGGAGTGGGTGCACTCAAACCTCGTGAAGAACCAAACCCCAGAGCATCTGCGAAGGTTAGCAAAATAGACACTCCACATGCATTTTTTAAATAACTCTAAAAGTAAGATCAGTTTTATTGGTTATGATAATTTTAGTTTCAAAACTATCTTGACTCTTTGGAAGTCCAGACCTTTGTAAACAAACAGAATTCTTGTTTCAGAGCATGAGACTTACGGTGACCAGCATTTCTCAAATGCTAGTATTCAGTGTGTGTATATTGGAGTTACTCATTCTGATTTTCTCACCAGGAAATACATCTTACACCATCTACTGATTTCTATAAAAAGTTGGCCTTGGATTGCTCGGGGCAACAGGTTGCAGTTGACTTGTTTCTTCTTAGTGGGCAGTACTCTGACCTGGCTTCCTTAGGTAAGACATTTTATTATTTATTTTATTTATTTTATTTATATCCCGCCTATCTAGCCAACTCATGACCACTCTAGGCGGCTAACGTCATCAGATAATAAAAGTATACATACATACAACAGCGTAAATAATAAAAACTTTACAAAAATAGAAACCAAATTCTCACATGTTTTCTGGTCTCTCCTTGTACAGTCAACCCTCGACTTACAAACTTAATCAATTCCGGAAGGAAGTTTGTAAGTCGAAAGGTTTGTAAGTAGAATCAGGATTTCCCATAGGAATGCATTGAAAACCAATTAATCTGTTCCGTCTGTTTTTGGTTTTTAGGTTGAGGGAAGGTTTGTAACTCGAATCATTAGTTCCCATAGGAACTAATGCAAAGCTAGTTAATCCGTTCCTACCACTAGGGGCAGAATTCTTTTCTTTTTTTACTTTTAACCTAGGATGACTTAGGTTAAAAAAAAGGAAAGAAAAGAGGGAGGGAAGGAGAGAACAGGCACCTTTTCAACAGAACACCTTGAAAAGCACCTTTTTAGCCAAGAAAAGCACCTTCTGGGAATAACCAAGCACCTTTCAGGCAACAGATCACCTTGAAAAGCACCTTTTCAATCAAGACAAGCAAATACAAGCACCTTTTTGGGGAAAAGGGGGCAGCAAAGGAGGGAGGGAACACCTTTTAAAAAATCCAAATATCAAAAATTTTAAAAAAGCCAAAAAATAAAAATACAGTCCGTACAGCACTGTACCAGGCAATACCAGGCAGTACCAGGCAGTCTGAAGACTGTCTCCAAATTCACTCTCAAAACGCTGGGAAGAGCAAGGAAGCAGACAGGCACCCTCTTCACTGGCCAACAGTTAACTGAAAGTTCAAATTTCATGTTTTCCCCACCTCCCACACGTTTTTTTCAGTTCGTAACTCGAATCTAAGTTAGCAAATTGAGTCAATATTTTTCTATCAGAGCAGTTTGTAAGTCGAAAAGTTTGTAACTAGGGCCGTTTGTAAGTCGAGGGCTGATTGTATAGGCAAGACAGAGATCATCAGTGTTTCTATAAACACGTATATATTTTAGTACTTTTAAATTAGGAGTGGGCAAAGTGTGATTCTTCCTAGGTTTCCATTGTGCCCCCCAACCTTTCTGCCTAGATTTGTAAAAAATACAGAGTTGAAAATCATGTCTTCAAAAGCCAGAGGAGTGAGCAATTTGATATTTAAAGGCAATTTTGCCCTTGGAAATTTTCAAGTCTGAAATAGCCTCTCTTTAGAAACTGGAAGTGTTTACTTCCTATTTTTAACAATGGCCTTAATCTGGTCTAAAAGAGCCCCAGGGAAATTGTAAAGTGACATTTGGCGTATTGTGTTTCCCAAGGTTACTGTGGGATGTACAATATTTATTCTGGTGTGAGAGGCAGCTTGCCATGGTGCCAAGAATGGTGGAAAGGATTCTTAGATGCCCCAGTGATGTGTGCCTACTTGAAGTGGTAAAAACTGAAGCTCCATGGTAGCTTCTGTCAGAATATTTA